TTTGTGCTTGATGTGGTGGTGGGGTCTTGGGTCGATGTGGTGGTGGGGTCTAGGCTTGATGTGGTGGTGGCATCAGTACTTGATGTAGTGGTTGGGTCTTGGCTTGATGTGGTGGTAGCATCTGTGCTTGATGTGGTGGAGGCATCTGTGCTTGATGTGGTGGAGGCATCTGTGCTTGATGTCGGGGAGGCATCTGTGCTTGATGTGGTGGTGGGGTCTTGGCTCGATGTGGTGGTGGGGTCTTGGCTTGATGTGGTGCTGGCATCAGTACTTGATGTAGTGGTTGGGTCTTGGCTTGATGTGGTGGTAGCATCTGGGATGATGTGTTAAAATGGAAGTTTGAAAAATAAGTCATAAACAGTCAGAAAATTTTGCTACCCAGATAAATAATCTATCATTTAATGCCTTCTTAAGTCTTGCAACATTGCTGAATCTAGCAGAATTATATCTAAACTTTGCATCGGTTTACACAAGCAAATTTTAGCAATATTCTGGAAGACTGGTAAAAGCTGCTTGACAATAAAAATTTCAGCATCGTCGCATCTTGCAGGTAAATCTCAAGTACTATTTAGTGAGTAGTGAAAATAGTTCGCCGTTGTTTATTGGCGAGAACTAGAATCAGCATTTCAGTCGATTTAACCCACTTTTTAAAGCATGTTCAACCTAAGACACTTCATTTATATGCGTTTAGGAATGTGTAAATGATAAACGTTTTCCACGGTGCACATTTAGCTTTGTGAAGTTCACTTAGCATTTTGGACATTTTTAAACGCATTTCAATGCAAATGTCCATACATGTCATTGCTGAAACGTGTTTAAAACATGGGTACAACAATTAAGATATGTGTATAAACTGTAAGAAACGTTTCTGCTGTGTAAAAACATTTTAAGGCACAATATGGTCTTACTTCCTTTCGTAATGCCATACGGTATATTTGTAATGTACCTACAATGTATGAATACAGATATTCAGAAGGGAACAATTATTTACACTCTTGGATATTATTTCCTCTGGAATATGCAATTATGGCTGGGTCTTTTGTGCAGCCAACAGACCCCGTTAATTGTGTAATCGAGCTATAAAAAGCTACAAGTAAGTAAAAAACAAGAGGATCGGATATTAGACTATAAAAGAGTAAGTTTGAAACATGAAGCTATACAATACTGTGCTGAAGGGAAATATCGTGACAACCAATAGTCATTGGCCAACCCTCACACAATACCCTTATTGATGATAAATGAAATTATCAACTAAGTTAAACGACGTCATGGGATCAAAATTCAAGTTTTTTGCAAGGGAATTTATACAGCATATATGTCCTACGCCTTGTGTCCCATTGTGTTTAGACTAAACATTGAAGTTTATCCACTCAAAGCAGTATAGCTCCTAAATACATTAGAATGCGATAACAAAATCGGGTTTCGTCATTATTATATTTTTGTTGATATTGTGATTAAGTTTGCAGAGCAAACAAATTAGCTTCACAGTCGGCGTGAATGCTCATTTGAGGACTTCACAAACACGACAACAGGGAACCAATACGATTAAGGAAACTCCGAGGGTGTAGTGTCAGATCAAGTCTGCAGTCTTGGCACCGGCAGTGTGCCGGCACCTCGCTAAGGACCGGCTTATGCTACAGGCAAATGTGAAAGCAAAGCAAATTTGAAGCCTCGAAAGATTTGCAGCAAATTTCGCTCGAGTTGAAATGTGTATGCAACTTTTGCGAATTCCCAAATATTGGATCTCCCCAATTCGCATTTGTACTCGCTTTCGCGTGAAGCATGAACCGGCCTTAACCCTTTGGTAAACCCATTCAATTCGGTGCCCAGTCAGTCGAACAAGACTGCTGAATCGCCAAGGTTTTTTACGTTTGCCTGGGGCCTTATGATGGCGCCTTGTCAACAGCCCGGCTCTTTGTTAAAGTTTCAGTAGAGTTCAAAATTTCAGCGGCGACGCCCCAAAATGTATTGTGCTCAACAGGGACGCCATTTTATATCAGTTACAAGATAAGGAAAAACATTGTATGGTCACCTTTGGGGTAAGACGTTTTAGAAAACTGTGGAAAATAACTAAAAGACCTGAAAAAAACGACTCAGCGCCATCCTCAATCAATTCCGCGGAGTACCTCTGAAGAGGCCTTCTGCTGTTAAGCACTAAACGTAGTTGAATCCTTTTCTGGCTTTGAGAACCTGCAATCTGCACAAAGCAGCGCAAAATGAGCCTTCAGATTATCGAACCGCAGAACAACCCACAACGTACTATCGGACTAAATAACCGGCTAGAGGAAACAGATTCCTTCAGACCACTGAAAAAAGTTCACATGCCTAAAGCGCATAACATTGGACGGAAAAGTTCGGGATGTTGGAAGTTTCTTAATTTAAAAAGTAATGTTTCATCTGCACGTGTTGATATACCTTGATTATTCACATGTATACCATAAGCCTGTGGCTTGAATTAAAACACTGACCCCTACCGAAAAAAATCTACTTGGACACCTCCTTTGTAACCGATATTATGACGTGATAATTTCTGATTATGGCGAATTATAAAAATTGCTTTAATGAAATCGTTAGAAATATGAGCGTGGACACTTCAATTGGGAGGTCTGGATGAATACTTCGTGATCTAATTTCGACCTCGGACCGAATTAACTGATGGTAATTCCGTTATATTCTGATTGATTTTGCTAAATGTTGGGGCGATAGTCTCAACCGCATATAATCTGATAAAATCTCGTAACATCGGAACATGTTTTCGACTTGCTTCAAATGGTAAGAGCAGATTCGAGGGGCCAACCCCCTCTAAAAAACACCAATGAGGATTTCATTTATCAATCAGTGTCAAGATATTGAGTGTCTTAAATGGATGCTTGTATGGCCGGAACCATTTTGCTCGGGAAACTGCATCTGAGCAGCTGTTTTATTCCAATAAAAAAGTGCATCAGGGACGCCACCCCAAAATTCTCGATCTCCTAAACAAAGTGCTCCCCGAGGCAATTCTGCAATTTATATTCCTTGGTTTCACGTGAGTTTACACGAATATTCCAAGTTACATAGCGTAAAGCTCTTTTATAAATTTACTGCAAAACCAGGGTGTAACATCGGTGTTTGCCGAAGACTATATCAACACTTATATTAAAAGTTTTGTTGTTATTTCAACACTGATGGTGTTACTTTTAATACCTCCAGTGCACTGTAACACATGTTGGTGTGTAAAGTAAAAACTGTGGTGTTGAAATAACAAATTTTTGGTGCGGTTATCCGATAACACCAAAACAGTACCATTCATAACACCACCGTTTTGGCAGTGTTTATATGGAAGGCTTCGCATGAGTTTGTAGTCGCGCAAAAATTGTGAGATTAAAAAATAATAATTAATAAAATTACATCTCAACCTGCAACACTGATTGCTCATTTGCATATTGACAAAGCGCTGAATTTTTTTCAATGGTAAAAAAGTGGCACTCGTCGGAATATTGATCTTGTAAAAGTCCGATTGTCAAGGGTTTCTGTATTGGAACAACAGAAAAGCACCCTTTTCTTTGAACATAGCACGGTAAAATGTGCCGTTTAGCGGTCAAACATTTGCCAACCACATTTAGCGATTGTGTTCCTTGTTTCAATACCATTCCCAATGTGGAGTTTTTCCATATGTATGAGAATGTGATATCAGCAAAACTGAGTTCATTGTGATATCAAATAATCGCGTAACTAACAGTGGAGACAACCTGGATTATCCATTCCTGTTTAAAAACGGTGGTTCGTAAAGGTTTTCACAATAATTAAGGAACGTTTTAACACATTTGACGGCATTTTTGATAGCTATCGTTGGGCAAATGGAAAAGTCGAGACTGAAACTCTCATTCAATTTTCATACCTCATTCAATCTGCGCCAAAAAAGTCCAAAGACAAAGCGCGTATTATTGAAAGGCATGTATTCGAACTTTTGGGGCCTTATATTCATCAATTAATACAATTTAGCACCTGGCCCTTTCGTTTCCTCCTGTTCTGGGAAAATGTATATGCTAGGGTCCTGCCCTCTTAATTGCTACGGCATCGCGAGGGAGGGGGCATGGGAAGAACGTGGGAATACTGAAAAAAAAAGCTAATGAGGAGGGTAGAAAAAGTGAAAAAAGAAAAGAGCGAAGAGGTAAAAATCGCCAGTTTGCCTGATTTACATTGAGACTGACCCCCTTCCTGCGTTAATATTGCTTTCATGACATCTATACCTGAATTGTCCTTACGTGTTCTCGAATCTCTCTGACAGTTCCTCTAACAGTTCCCCGAAATCTAGTGCGAAACGTAGCAAGAGATTCCATGGTCTTCCATGGTCTGATCGAAAGAGGGGGGGCAGAGCAAGACGAGCCAACGGCTCTTCATCTTCAACTCGCTCGATTTGCAGGAACGGTGTCACAGTAAAATGCAGGTCGCTATTATCGCATTTACTACATTACGCCTTTCACGGTGCCATGGCCAGTTTTGGTGTTTTGGTCGCTTTGAGTCTTTCGCCACGCTTGGTTTGTGCTTTCTGAGCTTGCACGATCACGCCAGCTCAACCAAGATGTACAGATCAATGTAATTTGTTACCACAGAAATTCAAAATTCAGGTTGATTCATTTGACAGTCGGACGAACAACAATGCAGAGTGGTCCCAGTTTCACTACCGGTACTGCTAGAAAAGGGCACAATGACTGCTCTTTGTCAACGGCCTTCCTATTTGTTAAAAGTTCAGTTCAGTTCAAACGTTTTTGCGACGACGCCCAAATGGTATTGTGCTCAGCGTTGACGCTATTTCAAGAGACGAAATGAGAGGAAAAGCAAACTTTTCAGTAAAAGGGCATACATACAGCAAACTTTTCCCTCTTTATTAAAGATAGGATTTGCACGATGTACTTGTGTACGGGTCTTGTCATAACGGGATCGAATAATATCGCGCAAGTGGGGGAGTTATAAATGTATGAAAAACAGGCTGAAAGTAAGAGGTCACACGGCGAGCTTCCAGAACCCTCGCTCGGCCCGCCTGCGGGGATTCTTTTTGTGGGTGGTGCTCATGGACGCCATTACAGGACAGCGCACACGTTTACAAAATGTCGCGTCACAAATAGGCCCACGCAAGAGGTCTGTAGAATTGGAAATTATATCGTCACATATGTGCAAGTCTTTTCTGTGCTGAAATTGCTTGGAGCCAGATTACAGGTTTGCTGCAGCAACTCGGTGGCATCGTTGACTTAAAGAGGTGTCAACACCACGTTATGAATCGGTACAGACAGTATTGTTGACACTTAAATTAGAAAATTCTGTCTCCGTTTATGAGCGATTTTCATTTTCCTTTGTGGCTCATGCTCTGGCGATTAAGGGTGCATGTATTCTTATATAAAGAATTTTTTTAAGGTAATAAGTTTCTGAGCTGAAAAGATCGAGTCAAAAGATCAACGGTCAAGGAAAACCCCGTTGGCAGATGATATTTAGTCCTGACCACCCCATGTATACTTGGAATGGCACCACGTCGTATGCACTGTGATTGGTAATAACTTAAAGAGAGTTTCAAGAACCTCTCTCTACTTTATACAATCTGAGACTCTGGCTTACAAACTGTACAAGAGTGATTTTGAATCTTCAAAAAAGATGTTTGGCATAATAAAAAAAAACTTTCTTTCCATGGGAAAGTGAATCCAGCATAGCCAGCCTCACGAGGATTGTCTGTCATCACAACTCATTTATTTTCTATAAACTGCATTCATAGAAATGACCCTGACACTTCACATTGTGCCTATCCTACATTCCTCCGGTATTGCCAGGGATCAAACCTGATTTTTACGCACGTTAATTTACTTCTGCTTTTTTTTAGTTTGTAGCTCTTTTAGTGACATGTGATATATTTATCTGACAAAACGCAGGCCAGAACATGACTTAATTTCACTCTCTTTACCGAGATGGGGAATTTATCAACAAAGACGCGATTGGAAAAAAGACGCGATCGCCACGTATTACACTCGGCCACTATGGCAGTTGACGTGACAATATCAAATCCTCAGCAAAGTATGGATGTATCGCTTTTAATGATGAGACCAGTATTTTAAGTCCCACACATCTGCAACGCATCTGAAGTCAGAAACCACTACACTGAATGTAGGTTCCATTCTTATTCGTAAAAGTCCTCAATCATCCAACGGAGGAAGGTCTGAGGACTATTAGAGTCAATGTCAAGTTACGTCCGAGAACATTAAGTAGTAGTCTGGGTGTCTAACCATTATTTGGAGGTGGACCCTGCACATGGTCTGCACAAAAAGGATCAGCATTTTCTTGTCCTTTCAATCTTGCAGTTCAACATTTTGACGGGTGTCACTGTCATTCTTGAGCATCATTACTTTCTGCAAATAAGTGGAGGCCATTACCACCAAACACGTTTTTCATACATCTGCACATTTTCGTTCAGGCTTAGCAATCGAGGTGTTGTTACCAATTTGGTTTTTGGTTTTTTTCCTTTGGAGGGTATAAGATTCAGTGAAATTTTAATTTCAATGTGATGTTTGCAGTTTATGCGAAAAATGCAAATCATCAGCCGCCATTGTCAGAAATGCAACTTTTATGTCAGCAGGTATTTGTTAAACCTACCGGTTTCTAGGCCCATTTGCCAAGATCAACAATTGCATCGTGGTCATTTTTTACGATGTCACTGTACTGTTTCACGAATCACAGGTCATATGCAAATTGTTATTTATCATAATCAAAAATACACCTTTCATCCATATTCTGGCATGTATTCGCACAAGCATTCTAAAGTAGGTATCTTAAGGCACTTGTCATGGTAAATGAATGCCTGGAAGTGATGTATACCCTTAGACACGTGTTGGGAAACATGTGCAGGTTAGCATTATTCTTGCTTACACTGGCTTCATCTCTGGTCCTTTTGTACCAATTGCACAATTTAATTTGATAAAATCTAAAGGCATTGATTGGGTGGTTCGCTTGGACGTCCGAAGGTTCGGTAGTTTAAAGACATACATTTCCTAGAGCCGAAAGTTCGTTTTTCTGAAATAAAAATGTAGTTAGTAAATCAGATAAGTTGGTGCGATTGCCTGAAAGTCCGACAGGCTGAAGGTTTATTTTGGGCACCTTTACTCACGGTGAAGTGGTCTGAGTTGAAGGTCTTGAAATGAACTCAAGGTTGGGCAGTCCTAGTTCCTATAAGGTTCAATGATCGTAAAAGCATCCAAGGTTCAGTACAGTTCAAGCTTAACATTCATTTTCTATTAACCTTCTATCTTGTCTTTTCGACCTATTGAATCTTATTGTCAATCTGGAATACTAAACATAACAATCAATTCGGACATCGAAACCTTAAGACCATTTAACCGTGTTTCCTGACCTGTGACCTTTAGGTCTGATGAATTTTCAGACTATTACTACAATGGCGAACTTCTGAACTTGCAATAGGACTGACGAACCTTCGGACATCTGCATCTTGAAATCGAGACTATAATGGGCTAGTCGTGCTAACGAAACTTTAGGATATTAAACCTTTGGACAACTAAAACTTTGGACCATTCAATTGGTATCGACTAACATACGTAACATACAAGGCTCTAAGGACGAGAAAATCCTGCATTATATTGGTTGGACCCTATACGGCATAGGGTTTCGTCGACATCCCACGGACTACAAGTCAAACTCCGTTGTAGAGGGGTCTTATGTAGCGCCTAAACCCATTGCACGTGCGGTTGGCATGCTGAGCTGCGGACCTTAACATGCTGTTTGTCGGAATTCGATGGGCAACACAAGCAAAGGTAACGCAAATGAGGCATAGTAGAGACACGGCCTCCTTCAAAACCGCATACGTCACAGCACATTTTTGTCAATTTTCCCAAGATATTTGACAACTGTTTTCATTATTTTTGATATCGTTTCCAATATCAAGATGTTTTACAAAAATTACAGTCAAAACTTTGACTTTGACGATAATTATTTCAAGGGTGATATCAAATGATGAATGAATCGCACATCGAAGGACCACAGCTTAAATTTCCTGTCTCCAACAAGTAGATCCTTGCGAAAGCCAATCATGAATCAAAATGAACATTTTTCTGACACTGAAAGTGACAATTTGGTTTACACAAGAGACTTCTACAAATTAAATCACAATGAAAGCCAAGAATGGCATTCGAAGCATCAATTCATATAAAGTTGAACGTTTCCACATTTTGTTTTCACATCACGAATGGAATTAGGGAAAATGGGTTTGCTGGGGTCATGTCCTACATTAAAAATGTGCTCAGAGTTTAAAAAACATTTCTCAACACTGTTTTGTGCCCATTTCGTCGTGTGCCCGGAAAAAGGTCGCAAGAGCCTTTTTGCCGGGAAGCATAATTGCTACCAAAACAAATTTCCTGGCAAAAGTACGTATGTATGCAACCGTTTCATTTTAATGAAATATAAAGATTTTAAAGTGTTTAATCACGACGTCTGATGTCATGTGTTTAGGAATTTCGAAAAGCTAAACTTGTACCACGGCAAAGCGTGTGGCGTTGAAGACATTCCTAAACACATTTCACTAAATGTGTTAAATGGGTAAAACATGTGGAAAAAAACATGGACACAAAAAAGTGCTTCGACTCTTAATGTCGTTTTTCCAGTGAATATTTTCATGGGTGTCGCGCTGGGAGCAGAGGATTTTAAAATGGCTGCACTACTCCCTGAAGAAATAATTGAAACAAAACATAAAATGGATGACAACAGAAGATGGAAAAGGAGCAAACAAATGAAAATCATCAATGTGCTTCGAAAAAAATCGCCACTGACCTCATTTCATCGTTAATGGTCTGGTTAGATTAACGTGGACTGTCCCCACGTTTCTTAAGCGATTTTTCTCGAACCTTCCCGATACATTTTTCCGGGAAGTTTTCCCAAAACTTAATATGAAAAGTTGTCAAAATGTTACCTGTAGTCTGTCCGTTTACTAATCGAGGGATGGGGGAGCACAGCAAGGAGAGAGCCACTGCAAACGCGAATAAAACCCGATGGGTCCCCATCTTGCTAACTCGCTCAACTACAGAAAGTGGTCCATGTGTGGCTTCACCGGCGTCAGTCCTGTCGCATTATGGATATTTTGCGTTTTTTTTCATAAGGCTTACTAACCATGGCCTTCAGGGCTTGGCCGATTCCAGTCTTTCGCCACGCTTGGTTGCTGTTGTTTTGTGCTTCCCGGCCCTAATCACGCAAGTGAGACCGTACGTTCCGTATGGCTTTGAGCATGTCTACATTGGCAATTATCCTTCAAACTGAATCACAAGGGTGTGTGTACCGCTCACGCGCTTGGTTTAGCTTTGTTTTGGGGAGTGTTGCCCGTTGCTTTTAATCTGCGTTCTTACAAATGACTTCGCATTCATCGAAAAAGGATGACGTATATAGGAAGTGTACAAAACGCACATTGCCTCACGTACGCGTAGGCCTAATATCCACATTACAAAACCACAATGTTCAACAGAGGGGAAAAAAACAAAATTTGTAGTTTGGCATTGGCGTTTTTAATGAACCCTCTCTACAAAAACCACGATATTTGACACTCTCTGATGTGAATACACTCTGCCGCTCCAACTATACCAGGGAACCCAGCATCCCAACAACAACTCATCTTAGCAGGAAAATATCGTCAAATTCTGATTCAACCAAACGAACTCTTAGCAAACTAGGAATAAGGGCAGGCTTACATGGTTGAGGAGTAGGCCTATACCATTTTCAATTTGAAGCTATCTTCTCAACCAAACCAACTTCATGTCTTCGTGACTTAGAAGTTTCTCTTGAAACCCACTTGTTCAACGATTGTTACATTATTTGTTGTTAATTTTACTTTTTATTTTTTTTTATTAATGTTTGTATTGCGCCATGAGCGTCATTGTTTGCGGATATCGGAGCATCACTAAATCGTCTGTATCATTATTATCATTATTAAGTCCGCTTGAATCATTTCTCTTTCCCCCAGACTTCCACAAACACCCTATGCAAGCTACAAATGTCGCCTGGTGGCCTCCATTCACATCGAAGGTGTGCACAAGCTTTGTTGAAGTCCATAGTGTTTGGGTGAAGCTTGAGAGAGAGAAGCGGTCTACATCGACCATGCGCATTACAATGTAACACGTACACCCCACGGTAGGAAAAGGGCCATTTCAGGGCGTTGAGTCGCATCCAGCGGAAAACTGTTTTCGGCGGTCGAGTCCACACACCGATGAACTGGGCATTTGACAGGGTACACGAAATACAAACTGCAAAGATGCCAATAGCGCACTGTACATCGCTCTAATGCTTATATACCTGAAAACAAAAATAGTCTCTTCAGTTAAGTGGCCTCATAAAGACACGCACGGCCTCAGTGTGGCGACATTTGCTCAGGACTCGGTCCGTCAGAGTGACTTGGAGGAAAACTGGTCAGCCTTTCTGGTTCAACAAATACATAAGAGCCAAAACATTGAAACAGAAAAGATTCTTCCCCACAAAGGACAGAAAGGAACAAGAATGATCTGAATATACAAGTTTCAACGGAAAATACATGTATCATCGTTTATTTAGTTTCTATCCTGTATGTGTGATCTCTTTTCGGAAACCTCCAGCAAGGTCTCTACTCTTGTGACGAACACTGATACTACAGTGCAATAACGATCGGCCTTTTCTTGCGGTCGAATGGTTTCTCTTTCACTTCTCTGAAAGTTTTTGTTAATTCAGTTGAATGGAGTTCGGCATGTACGGTGTTAAACTCAGCAACGCCCATAAACGTGCATTGTTTGTGGCGTCCAAAGTGATCACACGTACAAAGTTGGGGGTATGCGAGCATGCGTTGTCGCGTCAACTGCGCAAATCTGTATCCGGTACGGTGAACATAGCAATTGACAATGACTTGCAGCTATATTGGTTTGGGACGCATGAATGGAAGCTTTAAAGCGACAATCACGTCACAAATTTCGCAAGTGAAATAGGGTTTTCCTTGTCAGTTTCAACAAAAGCAACCGTTCATTTCCTTAAAACACGCTCAAATTCCATTTCATGGTTTTCTTTTCTCAATATTATCGCATTCATTTTCTTTTTTCGTGCAAAGAATGTTACGTTATTCTATTCTGTTTTTTAGGCGAACAAATCACCTACATGGCATCAGTTGTAAGTTAAATTTCCCGCATGTTCTGTCCATTCGTTTAAATGTAAGTTTTGTCTTTTTTTTAATCAGAAAATCCACTTTGATGCAATGCCAGTAATGAAGCTTATTATGCCAAAACAAATGAATGATTGTCTTTGTTTCACGGTGGATTCATTCAGAATTTTTTTCGAATTTTTCTTTCCTAGAAAGTAAGGATTCATGTTATCATCCAATCGAATCTGAATGTAAGCACACTGACAATGTTTATTAAATTTAACTCCTTCCGACAAATTTGAACGATCAAAACACTTATTCGAATTTGAATCAGTTTATTTGACGAATGACTGCTCAAGTAACGAAATCGAATGACGTATTAATGTTCGAATGCAAAATTAAAAAAACAAACAATTAAAAGACGAATGTGAATGGACTTTGCGTTGAACTGCACAATTTTTTAATTTATGAATTAGCCGGGGAAACCCTAAAGTGACGTCGGTAAGTTTCATTCCTTAATGCAGATAAAAATATGTCACAAATATCAATGATACAAAATATTTATGCTATAATAACAAAAGAAAATTTCGAAAGCAGTTTTGTATACGCCTATACCGACTAAAACGAATTAATGATTAACTTTCAACTGGTTTGAAGCTGGAAATTACTGACGTAACTGATTTATGATATCCATTAACACCCCATTCATGCGTGCAACTACCATTTGGCGATTTGTCCGTGCAATCTTTGTGTTCTCTTCTGGCCAGTCGTAAAACAAATGTTGGTAAAACACGCAGTGCAATTCGGAAATTCTCCACCACTTAGCCTGACCAGAGCAGTGATGCCCATGTCGATTGACAGCAGGAAAAAACATTGTTCAAGTTCCAAACAGGCCAGGGCTGTTTGTTCAACTGTCAATAGGACTCACACTGTAGTGCACTTTATAATGTAACTTTCTTATCGTTCATCTACTTTTTAATGTTATTTTAAAGACGTTTCATGTTTCAAACTCCTAGTCGTTATCATGCTTTAACTTTGTATAAAATAAACAAAATAATGAGACAATAAGAAATGTTCGTAGTTGACACGGAAGTTAAACGTTCGAAAATGTAGCAGAAAAGCAAAAATCTTTAATCTGAAAAAAATCCCAAATAGAGAAAATCTTCATTTGTTTTCTCCCGAGGAAACCTATCATCTAGGGGAAAAAATGCTATAAATGGTTTTTAACAATAATCTGCCCGTCTACCGATCGAAGAAGCCAAGAAACTATAAATAGTTAGGCAAACATCTTGTTCCTCAATGGATTACAATGCTACTCAGAGAAAACAAATGTTTTATAGGAAAATCTTGGCAGCATCATCACTTTTTACGTTGCCCACGCAACAATACCTGGTACTGCATCAAAAGTTACGTGATTGGTATACCACTTTTGATTGCAAAATGCAACCCTACCACTTTGCCAGTGGTTCATCAGTGTTCTCGTTCCAAACTTTGTTAACAAGAATCCAATATTGGTCTTCAAATCTGCTTCATGCAGAAGTTTCCTCCTCGACAATGAAACCAACTTTTCCGGACCTGGAAATAGCATTAGGCCCCCTCAGGACCAAATGGATTGTTAGACTCTCAATGCAGGGTCAACTTGAAAACAGGAACCGCCCAAAAAGTACAAACGCCGTGAACGGTTGGAGTTGGTAAATCTGTCCACCGGTAAAACTGTCCCGGGCTGAACAAAATTAACTTGATAAAACTGTCCTCCTCCTCGTTATTCTGTCCCGTCCAGGTAATTCTGTCCCCATGGTTTTTGTCACACGTTATTTCTCGTCACATGTTAACGTTTCATGTCACATGTTATTGTTTCATGTCACATGTTATTGTTTCATGTCACATGTTACTGTTTTATGTCGATGTTACTGTTTCATGTCATATATTACTGTTTCATGTCACATGTTATTGTTTCATGTTACTGTTTCATGTCACATTCACATTATAGCTATCCTCCAAAAATCCCTTTAAAAGTGTAAAATCAATCGAGCTATATTTATACTTTTAAACGGGAATTCCAACATTTTGTTTGGAATTTAGAAAGAAAAAAGCAGCTGTCTCACGCATTCGAGATTATCTTACGATCCGAAATGCCAAAATGAAATGTTCAGTTTTTAAAAGATATTTTTAGCTCCAATTTGATATCAAACACCACGATTTTCAAGCAATTATACTTTTTTGGCTTGGTTTTCTGGTTTCGTTTTGCCATTCGGTTTCGTTTGTGACACCCCTTATAACCTCGGTGACTGAACTGACGTGGAGGAATGCACCGACCAACACAAACACTGCATAAAAAGTGACCCATTTTGGGGACAAGCATCTCGGTATCCTGCCAACGCAGGCGCATCTTGCCAACCTGGCTACGTTCGCCTTTTTAGTGATAAGGTCTGAAAACTGTCTCGGAAAACTCAACTTGAAGTCGTGAGAGTGCGGAAAACCCACACACAATCTCCACACATAGCAGTAGATACGCCCCCGGAGCTACGGTTAAATTCCGTGTCAATACAGAGTGGAGTTATTCCTACTGCATAGGGACTGTGGGACTGAGGCCAACATCCATTCTCTCTCTTGTGCTTATTTTTACGAATAACAATACACTGTTTTGCCGCCACGTAAATCCTGGGCGGTCAGGTCAGCCATCACAAGGTCACATCCGGATCACCTGGCTGAGGCTCCCAAGTCACGCACGAGTATACAGACCCAATTGTAATGTGACTGCAGCCGCAACAACAGCCAATCATGCCAATTTTGAAGTCGCAGCCCACAAGTGATTCGGACACAGCCGTACATAAAAAGCATGAACGCGGCCAGGATTTTTTCTAAGCCAGAGAAGCACTTTTTGCGGGGTTTTCTGGGGCAAAGCACTCATCAGTCACGAACCGATAAACCATTAACAGTGAAAGGGAGTTAATTTCGAGAATTCCCCACCCCAAGAAGTGTGTGATTTCCTTTTCCTCTCATCTCCTTTTTTCCCTATTTCTCTCGATTTTTCTTCCTTTACATTTTTCATTTTCTTCCAGGGGGCAACCGCCCCTTCACCACACCCGTGCAAGTAAAACTTTTGATTGGGACAGGTCCAACTATTTCCCTCTTGCGCTAAAGCCCATGCTTCAGATTTGCCGGCACTTTGGGCGACGCACAGCCGTAAAACAGAGCCCCCAATAATATCCAATCATATCACCACTGAAACGTCCAGATTATCGAGGAAGCTCCCTCCATTGGGGGTATAAAACGACGCAAACTTAATAAATGACCAAAAAAGGCAAAATACTGATGCTGATTCTAAGTACATGTACATGTCAAAATAGACCTCGAATAGTAACGATGAACAATTCTTATAAAGCGTTAATACCTTAAAAGTCTCTATGCGCTGAAAGAGTATTTCTGTTCGAACCGATAGACGTGCCCTCTCTCAACCAAATAATGCGAGAGACTATAAAAAGCAAGTTCGTATTGTAATCAACGCATGTGCGCTGCACTGCACTGCACTGGAAAGTAGGACAGGGGTCACTTTTACTTAAAACAATCGTTTCAACCGCGCGTCCTGAGCGGGCGCCCTTCTCTGACATTCGTTTGTGTAGTGAATGTTCATCGCGCGATTCAGCTAGAGCTTCGATTTTTATGAATTCATTTCAGGTTTTGGTTCATTTTTGTTTGCCATGAATAGATGTGAGCACGATTTTTCAAATTTGTCTGTGGACCGTGGCCCGATTGAAGGAGTTTTTAAGGAACAACAATACATTCCACATGCTGTACTTGGATTAATCGACACTTAATCAGCCTTGATTTGTATGAAATTACCTGATACATGTAGTTTAAACTCGTACATATTTAAAATTTCAGTTTTCTTCCATTTTAAGTTTCATTATATCTTTAAAAATACTGCTTTTCCGTAAAGATTTCCTGCAGTGAGTTCCATACACAAATGTCACTTGGCACCCGTGCACAAACTAGGCCTATGTGAGGCTGGTCTGAAAAATTCTGTTTTCTAAGAAAATGCTTCGATTTTCTCACAGCTTAATTTGACTTTATGGGACATATTATTGCTTTCTAAGGGCTAATATTGCGACGCAGGGGAAAATTAGTGACATTTGTATAAGAAAATCTTGCAAATTTCCTTTCCGTAAATGTTATAGAAATGTACTATAAATTATTTTGGGACACTATTGAATATTATTTTTGAAATGACTGTACGGGATAGTAGGTTACCAGAATGTTCTTTCTGTTCTTGATTCTTCCCTATTTCGTCTTCAGCATCTTCCTTATTTCAGCAATTTCTTAAACGATCGTCGTATACGCGTATCAACAGCAACCCATTCGCGACACATATATTCGTTTTACGTACAAACGACCTTTGCAAAAGTTCATTTGCGCACGCAGAGTTTGTAATTAAGGACTTATTCATTATTTAGGGGCCTCTGAGCTATGGTGAAATACTAAACTCTTTCAATACTAGAAGCCGACACGGAAAGTATCCAAGTTCGGACGGGTTTAGTTATTTTTTGGGAGGATGACCTCAGCCAACTTTCAGTGGCCAAGAAAATGGCATAATCACTCCATTGCCGAAAGGGGGTTAACCTCGTCAGATTAAAAAAGGTGTTCGCTTACCAATGCGTCATATAAAATAACATAAAGTGTCTTCTGTGTAGGTTTGTCCCGACCACGGCGTGAAGATAAATCTTGTAGTTCAAGAGGTATAGCCAAAAGGCTGAAAATAATCTCGTCTTTCTCACATGAACAAGTAGAGCTTACTCCTAAAAACTGCAAAAAAGTGTGGATTACATTCGTACACAAAGCTATGAGCCACTACTGTTCTGCCTTGCGTAAAACTACGCTCCGATTCATGAATATGGAAATCTTTCACGTCAAGTTTCTCCTTTTGCGGATTCAAAGGAGGTGGAAATACATTGCAAGAAAGATTTCCTGAGTCATGAATGTCATATTTCATGTCTCCTTTGACGAACATGAATGCCCCAAAAGAACTCATGGGTCCAAAACCCGAAACTCAATCAGATGATGGAAGAAATAGAAAAGTTTCAATTCATTTATTGGGCCTTTCAAGAGTTACATGCGGGTGTTGTCCACTCCGAAAAACTAGGGGCTCTCAATAATGCACTTGTGTGGGTCCCAACAGTTAAGGTGAATAAAACATGTACATGTAATGTATATGGAAAATAGTCCAACACCCATGAATGTTAACTCCACTGTATAAAAAGAAACATCTGAAACCTTATCTATATATTTACACATTCTCTCGAAAGTCATGCCAAAAGACTCTTGCATGGTCACTCTTGCCAAACAGCAGGACATGTGCAATGGGCCTCGAGCTGGACTTCTTGTGGACTCATGGGTGCGCAAAAACGACACTTAATAAGATGATGGAACAAATCGAAAAGCAGCTAATTCAGTTTACTGAATTTCACATGATTATGAGCGTCGACATGAATTTCAAAGTGTGTTGCTGAAAATGAATTAATTGCCGGGGTAACTTTAGTCTCTGCTCGAGTCACATGTGAAGTTTTGTTTTAGACAACGCAACCATGCTGTCACCAAAAGATTTAAACGGTAAAAATGCGTAGAAAATTATAATGTACGATGAGCTAACAAATATCAACGGAAAAATATAAATCTGACTAAGCTGCATATACATGTAAATACAAATTCCAATGTGCTTACATTCCAAAGTAACAATTTTTATAAATGCTTTCAGTGTTTCGGCACAGTTTAACTGCTTACTTGTAGTTCTGTTTCATTTAAAGTTTCAGTTCACTCATTTCAGCATGATTAATAAGTAAATTTATTTTCACGTTAACATTTTGGTCTATACATAAAATATTTCTTGTAATTTATCGGAGAATAACGCCATGACGGTGTACATGCAGTTTTACCAATTTAAAATTGTTTGAGAAGAAAAATGTATTCATCATTTTCGCAATTTCCTTCTTTCTTTTTTTTTCAAATTTCAAATGAAACTGTAAACAATAGTACAGTTACTGGAAAACTTGGAAGATGGCAATGTAACTTATAGACACGTTTTGCTGGAATGTTTTTAGTGTATTCCGTCTTCATCCTTACTTCCCGACACTTTTAAAAACTGTCAGCGCTACTGTGAACCGTAGCATTCGGTAATCCCAAATATTTTGTAACAAGTGTTCTCCCCTCTTAAAAAAGTTCCCTTTTTAAATTTAAACTCGCGCGCCCTGGTTTTCTGAAGTGCCCTCAACTTGAGTGCATGCCAACTTGATAGGAATACTTGTGCGGCCGTAAAGAGCGCCGCCTATTGTCAAAACGCGAACTTGGGTCTCCCTCTAATACACGTTTCCTTTGAAACATCGTGCTTAACCATTCCGTCATGCTTCCATCGGCAAAACATTACCAATTTCTAAATTACATGTCAGGGACAGGCATTTTGATAAGGGGCTGTCCATAACGTACATGTACGTACGCACGAAATTCTGACTTTTCAGACCAACCTCCCTGTGCGCACTGCGTACGCAACGGCACCCTCCCCCCCGTGCGTACGTCCTTTATAGACGGCCCTGAACGGTATTTAGCCGCCTTGCTATATGCGCGTCAACACTTGCGCCAAGCGTTGCGTATAGGTACCTCTGCTGCATTCTCACCGCTGCGCGCGTATTAAAACGTGCGTGCCTCCTCCCTTTGTAAAAAGCGTATATCTTCGTTTTCACGAAGGAAAGAGCGTTTTTACTAATTTATGTTGGCTAAGGAACCACTGTGTTCATTCTAATTACTGGGTTTACGGAAAATTTGAACTGTCGTAGAATCACGTGAATGTTTCCTTACTACATTAAGTTCTGGCAAAGTAGTAGTTTTTACTGTTATGAGAAACTTCTCTGGTGATAATATGGAAAATGTTTTTATATAACTTCGAAATCCGCAGGTCTGTCCCTTCCATGAAACTGGTGACGATTGGTATTTTGTAACCGAATGTACCCGAATTGTACCAATACTCCACATGCACCCAATGATTCAAACTTCTATTTGAAAAAAATGACAATATAGCAGCAGCCCTCCGGTAAAAAAGGAAGCAAATAAACTTTTCGTGGCTCAACAATTCATAGAAACTCGGTCAATCACCGTCACATATCAATCATTTTAACCCTTTTGAAAATATTCAAACTGGAATGAAGCTGTCCATTCCAATTCGACGTTCAATACTGTACTGTTCTACTTAGAGTTTTCAAAATGCAAAACTTATTCTGAAACCCTCCCTTCACTGTCTCAGGTAATATTCGCCGACGCATGGCATTTTAGGCGTGTATCACAAGTCTTTGACTTCCTCCAGACTGGGAGACCCGGATTCCACAAAATGAACACCATCGCCAGGAAGGGGCGAAGTGACCAGGGGGAAGACCCAGACGAAATACCAGCGAGTGCCCAGTACCCCACGGATGTTCCGCAACCAGCCCTGGTCGTACGAACGGTCGCCGAGGCGCCGAAACTCGTGCGTTGTCTGACCCCGCAACACGATCAGCGCGTGGTACAGAAAGAGCGCGGTAAAAATGAAGAAGCAATAGAGGCACGTGCCGCTCTGGAAAGCGATGAAGAAGGACAAGGGCTGGACGAGGCCGTACATCCAGGCAAGCACTGGCGTGAAGGATGCGATCAAAGTCGTCAGGTTCAAGTTCTCGCCGATGCACTGCACGGCCAAGTCCGCGCTGATGTAACTTGCGTAGACTGTCAGGAGGCCGATGTACATGATGCACATAAGGTAATAACGCTGATTGGCGTGGCCTATGCAACAGCCCATGAAGATGCAGTGGTGATCGCGCTTCAGGACGCATTTCCCACATTCGCTGCAGTGGAAGGCGCGGGGAGGGGAGTTGGTTTGACAGCTGTGGCAGTAGCTCCAACCAGGCTTCAGAACGGCCGGCAAAACCACGCTCCGGGAAGAGTTCTCCACACCCATGGCCATGATAAAATTGCCAAAAAGGTTGACGAACAAGAACAGCCCCAGAATCGCACAAAACCAGTAGGAAAGAGCGCTTTCCGCGTATACACGCGGTAGCACGATGGACAGTTCAAGGCCCTCCACCAAGATTTCGCATGTAGAGACGAGCACTGAAAATCTATCCACAGCGGTTCGAGGTACTGCGCGCCTCCAACTGAATGACGGGATCATTGCGTTAAAGATTCGTCTGTATGGAGATTCGCCAATTAGATGCTGAAATTAAACAAAATGTACAGTTAAGTGGCGCCACGGTATAACCTCAGTCTAGATTTTAATGCCTCTAAGCCAACATCACTTATTTCATCTCACTGGGAAGTGTGCGACTTCCCCGATGTATGCCCTTTCAATTTTTTTTTACCGGACTCAGTAAGTGGATATATCATGGCTCGAATGTCGTTCCAACTTCGAATACATAAACTAGTGTATATTTCTTCCTGTATAAACACTCAGCGCCACGATTTTGGCAGATTGAATTTCAATAACTTTTTTTCGAATGTTCCCGCCCAAAAAAGACACATTTTGTACAGCTGCTGTATTTCAAGAGGTCAATGCAAAATATGAAATTATGGCGCGTTGTTTAGCTTGAACAAAATTTTAATTACAGTGGAACACTTGTTATGACAAGGTTCTCGGGACTTTTAAGATTACGCTTTCCTAACATGTACCTTTTATTATCGGTAATGGAAACCAAGAAAAACCAAGTTTTTTGCCCTAAATCTGTTCTTGTTATAAAAGTGACATGGTTTTAACAATGCTCTGTTTTCAGTGTTCGACTGTATACATAAGTGCATTGCAACAAACAACAAAAAGTATGTGCACAAGTATGCTATAGGATTACTGGTTTTGTTCTACATTGGGTCCATCCATGGAAGTAGTTTTAATTATGCCATTCATACCGGTGACCAATGTCTCAGGATACAGATCCACAGAAGCCTGTATACAGATGTTCTCAGTTTCTTACCAGTAAACGAGAACAAACTGGCCTGCACCAACCACGTCCCAATTTCCGTATCACAAGCTCTTTTTGCTATTCGGGGGCGGAGTCATGGTTCAACAAATTGAGGGTCTGTACCGTTGAAGGATTAAAGCTGCGAGCAGGACAGTGACCCGTATTGCTGTGAAATTTGGTTTACCCAACTGGGCAGATCCAGCAGAGGGCGTAGGGAGCACGCCCACCCCAAACAAACGAAAGAAAATATCAATACAATACGCCAGTGAAGAATGGACGATGATTGGGCGGAAACGCATGTTGGCGACCACCGGTGGTAATCTAAGTCGCAGATTGAATCCCCCAAGTGCTCTTTTGTCAAATAAGTGGAGGCATCTACGTCTGTTAATTAATGGCAATAGGGCATTTTATATTTTAGGGTATTTTGGGAGGATGGCGAGCTTCAGCAGAAGATCCCCTAGGTCGCCAAAAATTAGCAGAAACTTAAAGCTGGTAATTTTTTTTTAATTCCGATATATCTCAAAGACCGTTGAGAATTGCAAGAACTCCTCCTGGTTGTTTTAAGTGTGGGGATATGTCATTAACTTTCATACGGTTTTTCACACATCTCGGGGTTATATGGTTAATTAGTTTGTTACGTCAGAGTACCACTCCCATTCTTCCAATGTGTGACCGGACGGTCCGTCGCAGTAGAACTTGAGAAACAAGTCTGCCAGATACTATTCACTGTACATACAGGAGTACTCCACTCCGAAAATGAAGGGCTCTCAATAATACGTGGGTCCCATCATTTGAGGTGAATAAAACATGTAATGTACACGGAAAAAAGTCTAACATTCCTTGAATGTTAACTTTACTGTGTGATATAAAACATCTGAAACCTTGTCTATATTTTTACACATTCTCTAAAGTCATGCCAAACGACTTCTGAGTAGACACTCTTGTCAAACAGATGGACACGTACAATCGGCCTCGAGCTGAACTAAGAGAGGGCACTATTTCTTTAGCAATGGAGGCTCCTTTGGTACAAACTACGCATCGCTGGTTCATGAACGACTAAGCAATACATGCGTTGCAGTCACATCGCTACTAACAAAATGAATACTCCCGACCAATGCAGCTCTTGTCGACCGATGAGGGGGTGCTTCTGGTTGAGGCTCACACCAGGTCCAACTTAGGATTAAAAGTGATGATCACTTTGCTTCACTGTCTGCAGTACATGTATTATGATAGCTGCACTTTGTGATTGGTTGAGCTGCATCTCGATGCCAGTGTCAAACTACAGGATGGATGTAACACATCAGAGGCTTATGAGAATGGATCTTTTTCATTAGGATAATAAGAAGATAGTGAGTAAAGCTCCAATTTTTTTTTTCAAGAAATAGTCAGTCACCTGGTCTTCAAACCTTACACCATTAGATTTAAAGAGATACATGTATGCATCATACATGTACATGCAGATGGCATTTTGGAGAGAATTTGTTGGAAAAGTGGAATTCTTTTAAACATTAACGTACATGTTCCCCCATTTGACATAACTGGGCTGCATTCGAAAACCCATAGCGCTACTAACCTATAAAAAGTTGTAAGGCTGCAAGTCAAACGGAGTAGAGACTTGGAGCTCTGTAAGTAGGTCTAACCTTACCGGCAGGTCTCACTCCATTCTCGCGGTTGGACATCCGGGAACTTCTGTACATTATTGAATAGCACGAAGGGTAAATTTGCCCCTTTGCCATGTGTTAAAAGTCCATAGTGACGTCACATCAACCACAAGAATTCATGCCATTAGAAATATGTGGTGACTTGCAGACAACTGACCTAGCCGTGGCTTTGGAAGCCTCTGAAAGAGTTTCATACACAGAGGCCAATTGACACCCCGTGCACAAACCCTATGAGAATGGTCTGAAAAGTTCTATTTTCTCAGTAAACAACTTGGCATTTTCCCTCCTAAATTGAGCTTTTCTGGACATGTTTTTGCCTTCTAGTGGCTAATACGAGGCCACTATCATGACTGTTGCCGTTGGGAATACTTACTGGCGTCCGTATACGGAACTCTTCCCGAAGCCTGTTTTGGCCACGGCCTTTGTAGCCAATGGGTCCATTTTGACTTGATACGGTGAAAAGAATATACTTATTAAAGGTCAGGCGCTGTTTGTTTACGGGTCCAGACAGACCACAGACACAGGAGTTGGCTGATCAGGCAATGACATTGACAATGTCACTGTCAGGCTGATCATGGGAGGCGCGGCAGATGACTGAAGACCCCAGCCATCTGCTTGTACACATAGGAACGGGGCCCAGAATGTACTTAGCACTGCCAAACCTAGATGTGTAGCTTTTTAGAAGAGGAACAGTATAGGAAATCTTGTGATCTAGCACGTGGACAGGAAGGGAATTTTACATTCTTACCTTCACCATGGAGTTCACTGAGCCAGTCTGAGTTCTTCAGCGCGGCGTGCATACCCGAACCCCAACGCACGTGTATTTGACGTAAACCTGGTCTCCCCATGTGTAATGTGAAGTGTAATTTCCACGCCCCGTGAGAGCCAGACTGTTGCTGATCAGAATCTTTCTTGGTGGCGCTTTGCATGACACAACCGTCAAAGTGTGCATGACGTCACTACGCTACACTCACGCTGCATCGAAAACCCATTTGCGGACCGTACCGTCTCTGGACGAACCTGCAGACAAGTTCGATGGCACGTGTGTGCACACACGCACCCACCCATGCACGCGTAAGTTATACCGTGTGATTCTACCTCGATGGTTATATTGTGCGATTTTCGTGACTTCATGTGGGCCTATCATCAAGAAATTAGTCTTTGAGGAATCACTGGCACACCTACATGATGACATTGATATGGAGTAAGTAAGTAGTACAATGGGTATTATTGTTCCACACTTTACAGGTAGGCCTACTTACGTGTAATGAACTTTTAACCATGTTAATCAAATGCAGCTACATGTAGGTCTCTCTTGAAAGAGCTTCAAAAATTCTTCAAAATGATTTTTACCGTGGAGCATGGAGGAATGCCATGGTATTGGACGAATATTGATAGAGATATGATTTATGATATGATAGAGATTTTTTTTTTTGTTTTTTAGATTTTAAATCAATTTTCTTTTCTCTTCCAAAAATAAAGAAAAACAAAGAAAGTACTGGGACCCCAAAAATGGATACGTGTTGTCTTGACACACAAAGTTGCAAAACTTTTTAAGCGGATTAAAGCGACCACCATACGCTCAGTGGTAGTTTACCGTCACTCAACGTGCACGTGTGCCACCACTGCACCCACATGTCGTTTGCAGGACACCGCAGGTATAAACGCACAGACCGCCAGGTGTTTTCTTGATCTGCATCGGCGCCCGACTAAAATCAAAACTATGGGCAAATTCATATGCAGCAAGGTATGAGACAGAGAGAACCCCTTCCCCCCTGCTTTGTGTTGGTCATTGTCTCACAGGAATCAGGGGAATTCCTTTCAGACATCTTGGGGGGATGTGTTAAGTAACAATAGTCTGGAATGTGTATAGGGATTGCACATATTGGGGGAGGGGTACCCTGTAGTCTCATTTCTTGCTGGTTATAGGCAAATTCCCACCAATCTATGCACAGTTGAAGAATTCCAGCCATAAAATTCTATTAAGCCATTTTTTGATTGTGTTTTTGTTTTAAGTAGTCGAACTTGTATTCTTTATCTTTTCTTCCTAATTTAGTGGGTTTTATCAGTTCTGTAGTAATATACTCTCTTTTTATATTATAATCATATTAATGTAGTTTTTGGTTTTAAGTTTTTAACACGGCCCCTTGAAAAACAGCTCTGACGAATGATTTTTATCGTGTATAAATAGTACTTTTAAACATCTTACATGTCAGATGACTTTTATTACATGTAGTTTAAATAAAGCAGATCTTGTTTATTCATATTTGTGCAAATTAAATATCGAATACATGTGCTCAAATTCACGATTTTTTCCACGTTAGTATTACAAAGAGATCTCTTTCATTGTAAATATTTCTACGTATATTTAAATATTGTTGAATAAATATTTCCTTACATCTATTTTAACTGACAGTTATTGCTTCAAAATACATGTACATGTACATCAATTGTGAACACTTCCTATTTTTTTTCAGTAGGCCTACATGACCAAACATAATCACCTAAATCTTCAAACCGGTTGACAATAAGGCGGATACGTTACTTTACCACAATGAATAATATCACGTATGTAACAACACTTGCATGTTAACAAATTAAATTAAAGTGTTGATCAAAAGGTGCCGTGCCACATATAAGTGTGTTCCAAGTATTCTTTGCAACAAACATATCGGTAGTAGGTGAATGATAACAAAATGCCTGGAACATTTATTTACCTGACGAGAACACCAAGGCAGCCTATTTTCCCAAATGCAATTTTTTTCCAGAAAAAACCCATAGTAGTCCACAAATGAAGTTATTGAAGAAACAAAGATATGTAAATGAACAATTATCAATGTACCGAGGATAACTCCTTGAAAAATGAAGGATCCAAGAAACGAATTTTTCGTAGAATCACTTTTTGAGTATCTCTGTACTCTTCTTCCATGTATGAAGACTGTTTGACATCTTTTTTTAGTTATGGGAACTGAACGGTGCACTTTTTCAAACATTAAAAATTGACCAAGCATTTTTAGACAACTGAGGGCGCTTTTGCTTTGATGTAAATCCAGGAAGACATGGTTAAGGTTGCATGTTATCATGTTCAAATTGTGAACCCCAAATTTGCTATCTAGGAATATTTCTGTGAAAAGGAGTTTTACTGGATTATTGCCATATACTTACACAGCAATAAATTGCCAAAGAAAATGAAATATGCCACAGCAGTGGTTAAAAAAATCTAGAAATTTTCTGTGCACAAATCAGTGCCTTGGAGGACATCATAGTTCTACTCATGAATATGCAACAATTCATTAGCAAAAAAATTAAAACCATCAAAATATGGGTTGAAATTACAAAACAAAAATTTTAAATTAGGTTGATTGAAACCTAAAGATGCACTTCCAAGAGTTTTTAGTGATTATAAAAAATAATTTCTATTTCCTGGTTCCTTTAAAAACGAACTACAGTTGGAGAGAGACACAAGCATTCATATCTGCTGTACCTCTCCATGTTTCCCAAAACATACAACACTGCTTTAGCTTTGAATTCTGCAAGTTTCATAATATTGCTGACCAGCACTGCTTTGCGACTCCCAGGGAAAGCTAAGCTTCAAGGAGAGCTAAAGACTTCTTGCTTTCAGACACTCTCTCTCTCTCTCTCTCTCTCTCTCTCTCTCTCCCCCCTCCCACACCCAATTAAAAAGTAAATAAATGAAAAATATGAATAACAAATTAAAGTTTGAAAGAGTGTAACACAAACCTTGCTTCATGCAATAAATCACAGTGTATATTAAACACAAGCAGGTAATGTCATCACTGAGTAGCAAGGGTGGTTCCTCGGATTGCATTCATGTCCAATTGTGTTTTATGAAATTGTATCTCTTCAATATATACTTGGGCATGCTTTTAGTTAATGACTTCAGAGTTGTTAATATATCTTGCTAAATTTAATTTCATTTGTGTCCTGTATCACAGCCCACGATTTTGAGAATATTCGTGTACGCTGAAGTTGTGAAATCCTATTATGGGCATCATATTCGTTTGTCCAGGCATATTATGCGCAGGAAGTTAAAATTCTATAAAGGTGACTCAAGTGGAAAAATGATTCTGGGCAGCTGGTTTCAATCTGCTGTAGAAATAAAAACATGTTTACAATTTCCATGTAGAGTTCGTGAAAAATGAAATAAAAGAGTACTTAAATGTTGTCGTTGTGGTTGGAGCTGAAAAGACTACTGTTTTACAACTAAATATGTCATGCAAACCAATCCGTTAATACTTTGATAAGCTTATGTAATGAAATAAGTATATAAGTAAAATATGTTAAATACTGCGACACAGGTTGGAAAACAACAAGCCTAAAACGGGCCTGTTGCCAAATTAGTTCTTGAATGGGAGTCACTAATCCATTACACATTTCTCATGAGTATATAAATTCATAATCTTTGACGAATCATTCCAAAATCAGGCTGAAATAAATCATTTTGATTTTTGTCATTTCCTCAGACTTTTCAAAGTGACCCAAAATATCATGCTTTCAATCAGGAAGCTGAAAGTAATTAGCAAAAGCACAGTGATAATCTAATTTAAAAGGCACATCTTCACAAAAATTACAAACTGTTACATGCATGAAAAATGCCATGATGCTAGTAATCTTTATATCTGATTAATAATGAACCACTCTCATTCTACAATATTTTCTAGGTGCAACACTGCTGTATCTGAAATGCATTTATACCCTTCTTTGTAAGCAAGAGTGATCCAGATGCACTGATACTCTGTTGGTTTTAAGTTTAACATCTAGTCACTTAAACGAAAGCATCTACCTGATAAAATCAGAAATAAACACAAGAAATGCACAGAACCCTGTTGACATTTTACCTATACATTAGCTCAGCTGAATGAAGTCTATGCCAGAGGATTAACCTTACCCCTCTTCCATTCAGATACAGGAAAAAACTTCATTTCATTCTGAAACAGCGGCTTATCCAGCTCTTGGTGTCGGGGGCATTCAACATGTGAAGAAAAAAATCAAAAGCCTTACTCATAGTACCGACATCCTTGCTTTTATTTGCTGGTGTTGTTTTCTTAAGGATTTGGTGCTAATATTTGATAACTCACTAATTCTTTGTAAAAGAAAATCTGCAAATATTTCTGTCAGAGCTCCCCTGCCCCACCTGCTGGATACACCACTCTTCTGAAATAACATACATTTGCAATTGTAACTATCATACTTATATGTACATTCATTTGCTTTCTCTTTCTCTCAAAAAGGCAAAAATGTTTAAAAACATTCTCAATAAGAGTAAGGTGCCTCATAAAAACCACTTTGAAAGAAAAAAACACTCTAAAAATGGGAGCCATGTTGAGGAAAATTATTTTTCAAGCCAGGTCTATATAGTTCCTTGGCAGAGCACAAATGCCACTCTTTAAGAGTGGTTTTCACTGTTTTAAAGTTATTTAAATAAGGAACTTAATCTTTTTGAGAGTGCATTTTTCACTCGTTTTCATTTAAAAGAGTTCAGAGTTTTTCAGACTTGTGCTTGACCTTCGCAGCTACAATTTCTCTCTGTATTGTGTTCAGGCCAGTTGAAATCATCTCTAGCCAACATGAAGCTTGTTACTTTAATAAGTCTAGCAAGTCTGTTGCAGTGAACACTACATGGTACATGTTATTACCAACTGAAGAAAAACCGAAGAAGGTATAACAATCAGCAAGCCGGCTGCATGTCCCAGATTAGTCCACATCTGTCAGGCATGTATTCCCCTTGGACTCTTTCTCCCTCTGTTTGCTGGCCTGTTGTGATGTGGAGCAAACAAATTGTGCCAACCATTCGACAATTTATTTAGCAGAAGTTTAGGAGAACAGAATAAGAGGCTTCTTAAAGATGAAAAGTTCCTGAGAATTCTAAAGTATTCGTATCACTCAGAGTCTTCTAGATCACGTCTACAGAGCACTACCAACTCTGTCCTTCACATAGCTAGACCATGCAGGCCTGATAACCTTCATTAGGGTAGCATGTTTATATTCTATGGTTCTCATATCTTTTTTTTACATGAGGGAGGGTCGTGCCATCGAAAAAACTATAATTCCTTACAAAAAAATTCTTGCTGCTGCCACATACAGGGTGTCCACATAAAAAGTATACCAAGATAAGAATTACTGCAATGGCAAAACTACTTTATATGTGAGACAGAGAATGATATCGCTAATGATATAGGGCAGAATGCCCTATAAAAAGAAATTGCATGGTGTCAAAATACCCAACTTGTCACAGTTCTTAAAGCAAAGGCATTAGGTATTCTGCACCCTTGCATGGTTAAGCCTTGTTAATCAAACTTGTCATAATGCTTATTATCGGTCTAGCTTCACTCATCTGTGTCAACAACATCACAAGCTGTATACCATTGCAAAGAACACATTCTGGCCTTTCTAAAGATATATTTCTCTTTCCCATAGATTAAGTAGATTTGCCATTACAGTACTTTTTATCTCAGTATATACTTTTTATGTGGACACCCTGTAGAAGACTGAATAAACCAGGCGAAGCTCACTATGTTTACTTGTCACTTGTTTTTATTGAGTACCATGAGTGGCTTTGTCTCTAGCTAAATGCCAAGAAATATTTTATTGGTACACAACAATACTTCATTGGAGTCAGTGTCAAGACTCGTACGGTGTTCGTGTGTGCAGTGTGTATGTACATGGTACATGTACATGTATGTTTCCGTTTCTCCTGTGGTGTTCCGTACATGTTAGTACACTGGGTGTGGTACGGTACTGCTCAGTTTTGTAGTGATGTTGCACCGTACATTTTGACTGTCGCTGCATTGATGTTTGGGAAAACTTGTATCGCACATACATATTTTCAGTGGTGTTTTTGAACAGGTCACCGCAACCTACTTTTTTTTATAAGCAACATCCTATCATCTGCAGGGTTGGTAGGGAAAAAAAAGCTTTTGTTCGAGGTCGGGAGCCAAAAATAGGGTCGGTCAGAGATGAGAACCATAGAATATAAAAGGGTGGCCTCATCGACAAAAAACCCTCCAATCTCTAGTTTAATTTCCTACTGAACCACAATTCAGAAATATCTGAGAGTCTGAGATATATGTTGAATAACGCATCGGTGCTGGTGGGCTTTTAAATTACAATAAACATTTTGAAAGTCTTGGACAAGGAGTGACATGTTCGTGCTTGGCTGCTATTTTCTGAGACCAAGTTCAAATCTCATCGGACAGTTAAGGCCGGTGGTTTTAAATTCACCTCATTGCCTGTTGTGGAAATTGCATCCACAGTCCCCGAGAATTTACCCATCTTCTTGATGGTCAAGTGAAAAGCTTGGCGCACCTCCCCATTCAATAGACAGCACACGATCACCAACCAGAAGCCCTGAAAAACGAAAACCAGTTTTATTTTACCAGTAATGCCTGACGCCTTTATATTTCACGAGGAGGTAAAATGAGACCAAATCATAAATAAGTAACATAGCCAAGGAAAGTTTCGAGGGTATAGGGACTGGATGCCAAATGGATCTGGACAGATGCTCTTCTTTAGAAACAGGCGCACATTTTGAATACCTGCGTGCTTACGCACCTTAAACGAAAGCTGTGCTTCAGACGTTTTTGTGCTGTATGTAGTATGATTTCATTACCATGTAAATTTTAGTTGTTGATCAGTATATAGATGACCCAAAATGTGCAATTCATATTTTGCATCTCTGAAAAGTGTGTGGAGGGGTGATCAAATGACCTATCCTCCCTTGGCCTCAACAGCAAGCAGGGATATACACCCCCCATTCCATGCTGGTGGGCAGATAAACAGGTGTCATCAGTGTCTATGCACCAGGAGCAATGACCATGAATATGCCACAATTTTGGTGGAGAATTCAGGATTCACTACTGGGCAGGTACAATTGGCAGGGTCGGATTTACCGATAGGCATAGATAGTTGGTGTTATAACACCTCACCCGCAGATTCTTTATTTTGATTGGCCGAGAGCTAGTCACGTGGCATCCACTATTTTAGCCATCTTGTTATACATGGCTATAAGAACTTTACCGTAGCAACCAAAAACTGCACGAATGACCATTGAAACTTTGCGTCAATACATACTCATCGGCGCGTCACATGCATTCGGAAGTGCTAGCACTACAGAACTGGGTTAAAACATTTTGTGAAGTGGTAGTTTGAAAGAGTGCTGGTGATTGCTCAACAAATTTGGTATTCGAATTAATGTGTTTCTATAGGTATTGGATCGAATTAATCAGTTATCGCTTCAATCAAGCAGGATCTGTGGAGAGGTGATATATTTGCCTAGGGAAAATGAAATATTCCCTGGATAACCCCACAAACACTTATCGTACATACCTAGTGTGGACATTCCTTTCTCTTTGTGCCGTTATGAAAACTCAGTGAAAAACACTTGTTTTTCTTGAACTGGGAACACAATTTCAGCTGGCTTTTTGTACAAGGTTTCCTTGACGATTCCTCTTCTTTTTATGACAGATGACCCCCAACCCTAAAATGCCTCTAAACTTCTTTTTCAGAGAAAGGGGTCTTCCTATCCTGCATCGTGTGGACATCTTTTGTTCACAAGTCCACACTAGGTATATAGGGTTAGCGCGGGGAGGGCTAGTTTTACTACACCACTTGAAACAGCCCATATTTATATGCTGTTCTGAGGGGCCTACGAAAAATTCAGGGCCCGAGAACAATCTCAGATCTACAAGAATACCACAATGTGCCACTAAATACACACAATAAAGTTTGAGATTCCATCTTTGAATTTCCAATTTCGGTAAAGCTCCAAACTAGCTAGTGCACAGTATAGACCCTTAAACAAGGCCCTTAGTATACTATGTCATCGATACTGGGGTAAAGGAGTATGCGTAGGGCCCTGTTTAGGGGTCGAAGCTCAGAACAACTTGGCATCAACGTGAAATGTGAGATTTCAGCACTATGAAAAAGGTGGTAATGCCTACAGATTGCCTGTACGGGCAGCCGACAGGACCCTCATTCTGACCCTGCTGTCACAGAGCAACAACCTCCATGAGCTTTTGTGGAGACCTTGCAGCATGTGCAGAGAAGTTCTCATGGGGTGGATGAGTGATTTACCTGAAAGCTGTTCAAGATGACAAATGTGTACTCAAAGACAGGGGAGACGTGACCGATCAGTCCGACACCCCAAGTGATTCCAAGCATGGGTAGCAGTACAAGGGAGCTACGCAATCCAGCCCTGAAGGGGTCACAGCATAAAGCAAAGATCCCGATGATACTGAGAAACCAGCTCTACAACTGTGCCAAATTGTGGATCTTTCATTCCATCAAATATTCCAGTATTCAGTTTTATGAATGTCAATTGCTTCTGATGTGAACAATTTTCCGAATTAAATTTTTTTAATGTCCTATTTTTGCAGACAAGTGGAAAAGATGAAACAATATACATGACATACATTGCTGACAATGGTATTGTTACCCTTGCTTTAGCTTTTTTTGAGGGGGTTGACCCCAAACTCCAGCCCACCCCCCCCCGATCCAGGCCTGAGATATGTCAGAGTTGGACTGTAAAACAGGGTCAACTGTTAGGTGCCATCAGAAGTAAGTTGTTGGCCTTGTTGCTGGGCTTCGCAATCACCAATCTACATTGCTTATAATACTTTGAAGTAACTCCTAGGACTATTCAGCTCCAAAAATGAATTTTTCAATGCTTGATATTCAATCAGACATTCAAACAGCTAAATAACCAGCACAGCCCCAATTGGTAGTGCAGCTGTACCTGTTTCAGTCAATAATATCCCCCTCAAATAGGCTAAGACACGGGTCATAGCTGATAGGTGGTGCAGGCGAGAGCTGTTTGGGAGCTGATACTGCTTTAAAACCCATGGGAAACCTTTTTCAAGTTGTGCCAAAACCAGTCAAAGAATTTCTGGAAAAAAAGTTCACACTGGTCTGATGAGAATTGACATGTGACATAGTACATCCATGATGGATACATTATTAAGGCAATTCCAAAAAGGAAACACATGAGGCTTTCACTTCCAACCGATTACCCCCATCACTACAATACAAGGCAGGGCAGGGCAGGAGTGAAGTACAACCCTGACCCCTTTAAAATGACTTACTTCACTTTGGCCAGAGTATCCCGACTGGTCCCTTTGGAGGCCGCCACCGTGGTCCTGATCACCATGGCCAACACAACAGCATTCACCTGCAAATGCAACCACACAACCATCTCATGACCTGGTGGTCTAACGTACAGTATTGCAAGCTGGTCAGGGAACTACCTTGAAACCATTCTTTAATAAAGAATCTTTTCCGTGCAATCTAATCTACTCATAGTACAAAGAGGTACTCCTCTTCAATTTTTTTTTCAGCAAAAGTGTTTGTAAGCACATGTTCTCATGACACCTCATGAAAACATTCTTTCCAATTTGTATGAATGTGAAACATTAATCGTTTACTTTAAGCAATGCCAAATTGGTAATGTCAGAGTTGAGTCACAGTATGTGGTGACTCGCCTCAACTTGTGTCCTGATGGGTAAATGACTTGACTAAACTCCTGTCACTTTGTTAAAAAGGTTCAACCTGAGTCACAAAAACTGGTGACTTCCGGGTAACTTACATATCGCCAGTTTGCCTTCTCATTCTGACTCAAACTCATGATGAGAGTTTGTCCATATGTATTTCCATATTAGTTAGAGCTACATATAAAGGGCATTCCTATCTTTTGGGGCTAAGGATTCCTCCACTGTGCATTTGATGACATGTTTGTTTTGTGTCTTTGCACTGACATCAGTAGCATCACATACAACGTCAGAAATTTTTTGGAACACAAAACAGTTGTGATTATTGGTCATGTCAACCACTTTGTGTGAAGAAGCTGCATTACAGCAACTCTTACAAGGCAATTGTGCATAGACCTTGCATTTATGGTCAGACCAGAGCAAGCCACTGCATGGTTTGACATGGTTGTAAGATGAATATTTATATCAAATGGTCAACATGTCACCAACCAAATTATTCAGGCATTTTGTAATTTTCTCTATTTTGTTCACCTGGAACCTGAACAGAGAGCAACTAAGCCTAAACTGAATTAGCTTTTCAACCATACTGCTGAAAACAGTGGGACAACCCTACTGAAAATGTCCAGTTCATTTACCTGAGGCTAATTCACTTACCCATTGGATCCAATTCACATACCAATTGGATCCAATTCAATAATCATTTCCAAAACCAATTGCTTTTGCTTGAAATCAATTGGAACCAATTGGGTTCAATTGGTTTGAATAATAATTTCAGACCTTTTCTCAGTTGAACCATTTCAAACCAATTGACACAATTTGAATGCCAATTCACAATCCAAGTGTAACCAATCGAAGAACCAATTAAAACCATTTCAATACCAATTCGAACCAATTGAGTCCCATTTTAAAAATCCATTTGATGGGGGAAACAAGGTGAAAAAATACCAATTGGAACCAGTTGCGTCCCACTTGAAATTTCCAATTGATCAAGGAAAACAGAGAGAAAGCATACCAATTGGAACCATTTGATTCCCATTTGAATTCCAATTGATTGGGGAAAATAAATAGCAAAGAAAAAATGCCAATTGAAACTAATTGCGTCCCATTTGAAATCTCCAATTGATGGGGGAAACAAGTGGGAGAGAAAACATATCAACTGAAACCAACTGAGCACCAATTGATGGCCAATTGGACCCAATTCATTCCAATTAAATCCAACTCAAAAATCAATTGGTTTAAATAGGCAATTTTTAGTAGGGAATGGGGGAATACCCTCATTCATTTTGCTTACCAGCATGATCACACAAGCTGGGCCGACAAATGCCCAAATGAAACCATTTTGAGTACTCAGCCAGCACCTGGGGGGAGAAAATCGGTCATTTAATAGCTGACAAAATATTTCTAGAGTTTTCAACCAAACATGGTGATTCATATACAGGAGGGACAGAATTAGGATGTAACAAAGATGGTGTGATGGTGTGGTTGAGATTCTGAAGTCCAAGACTAATCAAAGAGTGCCTGATGAAGCACTTTAACATGCGACTTCAGGCCTAAAATCCAGGGGGGCAATATCTCAAAAATCTGCCAAATTCTCATCAGGGCTGCAGTCAACTGTCCATCTGGACGACTACGATCAAGACCATGTCCCTTTTAGTTCCAGCCAGCAAGCCGTTACTTTCAAGCACTCTTTTCATGTCAACATATTTGCCACTTGCTTTGGACCCAAACAACTGCGAAGAATTGTGCAAGCATACACACATGGCTGGCAAATAGCCGAGAATATATGCACCTCAATATCTTATTTGTGCTTTCTGAGATTATAGTTTTAAACCACTAAAAAGGCTTATATTCTAAGATTGCAGTTCTAAACCAAGCTGAGAGTAAAAAGGCCAATGGATTGACATTCATGATCATATATGAAAGGCAAAGCAAAGTGCAACTAGCTAAAGATGTCTTGTTTTGAGACTTTGTCCGAGACTGATTGCAAGAGTCAGTCCAGATAGGGTAAGTCCATTGGGAAAATTGGGAAACATTGGGAAAATTGGTCTTGAGACTGCAGGTCTCCAGGCCAGTCTCAAGTCTCATGTGTATAAATGGATTTTGTAACTTCACCGAGCATACAGTCACTCTTGCACAAATGTAAGACTCACTTTTTCTCTGCAGATAGGTATTTAACTTACCCTTTGCCAGGCAATCCATAATGAGTCCACTTGATACCTGCAGATACACCTACAATCAGAATTGGCAACCCTGCAACACGACAGAATCAATTAAAATAAATGGGTGATAGCCAGTCTTGTCAATGAAAAGGAAGAGTCGAAGGCAGAAATGCAATCCCACATCACCTTAAGACTATCACAAGACCCTACAAGATCAACACGTAACCTCCAGTCCGAATTGAAGTCACACGCTTTTCAAATGAATGGAAGCAAAACCAGTTCACAGTCACTGATAAGCATTTCAATCGTGGTTGGTCTTTGACATGTGTCAGTCTTGTACAATGATCTCGTCTACAAACTTGTCAAGGAACAGTGGAATATACATGTAAATGTTGCCTTCAGTTACAGCAACAAGGCCCATGAATAGTTCTGGGGCCTACACAAATTTGAGGATGACTATACGATACACTGCTTCTCTCTTTCCCCATCTCACGTTTTGACTTCAAGCTTGAAACGACCCTAGCTAGCTAGTTCAAAGCTTACTCCAGCTTTGTATCAACATGAAATGTCAGGCTCACATGCTATCACTAGCTGTGAAATTGGTGGTTGTAGGCATATATGCCGAGGGTGGAGCATATGGCACACAGGTGCTAAGGGCCTACGGAACAGTTTATCCTGCCCGGCACCGAAATCTCCAGATCCACGTCTACACTGATGAAAGGCTTTTGAACATTTCATTGTCCTGATATTTTCTTGGACAATTTAAGACTTTCAAGGGCACTTTTCTGGATACATGCAGTTCAAAATTTGGCAAAATTAAATGAACATTTTATGGTCTCCAACAATTGTAAATGTATGAAGGCCAATAAACACAAG